TCCGCGCTGCCGCTCCTCGGGGCGACGCTGTAAATTGGGGTAGGGGCATTGGGATCGCGTCAATTACCTGATCGGGATAACAAAATCACAAGCAATAATTAGGATCTATGCAATTTTTAAACTAGCGATGGGCCAATTACAAAATATATATGAAATCTATATTTTTCAACCAACGTTTTACTACTTGTTACCTTTCCCATGCTGAATTATTTTGTTGTGATTTTGTACAGAATTTTTAATGACTTTTTATAACGTGAATTTCCTATTTTAAACCATGCAGCTTCATCAATTTTTATACATATTGGAAAGGTAGAATTATATCTAATTTATACAAAATGATTTAACTAATTTAAACCAGCAGAAAAGTGCTTAGAGAAGTTATGTTGCCTTAGCACTTCTTTCCTTTTCAAATAGATGAAGAAGAAAAAAAAAATGCACAATCCGGGCAATTTCTTTCCTATCCAAGTCTCTTTTTTCATTCTTTTTCTTTTTTCTTTATTTCTTTTTCCTTTACCCCGTACAATAAGAACCAGATCCCCTAGGTCTTGAGAAGATATAAGAACGATAGACTTATTTTCTATTAAAACATATCATTTCAACACATTACTTGCACAAACTTGTATATAAAGATTATAAGCAAATGCCAACACCCTTTTTAAATCGAAAGCTGCTTGACTATCACATACAATTTGCACTGTTTCTTTTTAGTCTTTTAACCCCTTGGCATTCCGTGGTTTTTGGTTTGTTGGATTTTTTTTGTTTGTTTTGGTTTTGGTTTGGTTTTTTTTTTTTTTAAGATAACTTGAAGATGTTAATGTTTCCAGGCGCTATAAATGCATGATTTTATACACGTTCACACAATCCGTGGTTGTCATATGCTCATTTTATAAATCTGAACCGAAATCTAATCAGGTTGTTAAAGTCGGGCTATATACCTATTGTAGTCGATTAGTACGGTAGCTTGAAACAAATTCAAACCATTTAATCCGTAATTAGAACAATAGCTATTGCATGTACAATGCAGTCCAGAATAAGTGCTGTTTGAAATGTAACTCTGGTTCAACTGGAATCAATCTGTACTGTAATTTTGTTTGTAATCCTGTATATTATGGTGTAATGCACACTGGGATTTTAGAAAAAAAAAATCCATCCTTTGGCAACAACATAGTATTGAACATTTGGTCGAATGTTGCATTTTTCCTTAAATGTGATTTTTTTTTCTTAGTGTAAGTAATTCCTATGGGATTATTGTTTTATTCGGATAGCTCATGAAAGGTGCAACACTTATTATTTGTAGAATAAAATTGGTCTAAAAAAAAGGACACGGGTTCTTTACTTACCTTGAGAAGTGCTCGGGCCGGGGGTGGGGGGCGGCGTTCGTTTGTTTACAGATAAACCCGGCTATTTGCAATGCTGATTTGTTGGACGAGGGGAGCGGGGCCGGAGCGCCGTTCGCTGGGAGCTGCGGCTGCCGGTGCGGGCTGCGCCGGGCTCCTGGTGCCGGCTCTGACCGCCGGCCCCGGGCTGTCCGCAGCCATCCCCGGGCTGTCCGCAACCGGCCCCGGGGTATCCGCAGCCGGCCCCTCACACCGGGAGCGGGCGCTTCGGTCCCGGCGCTTGGGCAGCAGGTGCGCCTTCCCCCCGCAAGGCAGACCTGGACCCGCGCTATCGATTTATCGTCCCTTCCCCTTTGCAGACGGGAAACGTATTCCTTTAATCTTCGCTGATTATTCTGAGGCTTAAGAAAGCCGGAGACACAACCTGCGGGAGAGCAATTCCCCTAATGACCGGGAACAATTATCAACAGGTCTTTGCCTCCGACCGTCAGAAACAGATTTAAGACGTTACCTGAAATACTTTACATGAAGCCTGTCGCAAAGCGGGGGTATTTCATAAATATTTCAGCTAAACCCAGCAGAAAGTAAACAAGCTTTCGTATGGATGAGGGCATTTTTTCCCCCCAGGAGAAACCAAGCTTCTGGCGTCTATTTTAAAGGTGTTTGTAGCTACAGAAATCCAACGTGTAAGCATGGCAAACCTGCCCTAGCAGTTCAGCAGCCCCTGCTGCCAGGCTTCCCCGTTAAAAACATGCTAAAATTTAATTGCGATGCCAACTGATGCATTTTGCAGCATCTCCCTTCATTTCACCAGAGCCTGCAGCTCCACACTTGAAAACTGTTGCTGAATCTGAAATCAAAGAACGCAAAAGACAACTTTTCCAGCACCCAGAAACCTTTCCCAGTCAGTGGCAATACAGGTAAGGGTGCCCTAGATAACCCGGGGGGGATAAATGAATGACGATTTTTGAGATCAAATTGAAAAAGCTGACCCAGGCTTGCTTGCCTTTTGGTTATGCACCTTCTTCCTAAATATAAGGATTCTTCTAGTCAGTCAAGGGGCAACTCACATGCCACCATCTTTTATTCAAAGGCAGGCACAGATGTTCCTTCTGCAGGGGAGGTTTTAATTTATGAAAATGATATTGTTTATGCATGAATGCACTCTGCATAACACAAAGTACTTCCATCTGATGAGAGAAATACCACAGAACCAGTGCCAATGTCAGGAACATATTCTGCAAATTTAGTTGCTTAAATGTTTAATGAATATTTGGAAGGCATTTCCAAAGCACAAGAAACCTTTTCAATTACCTTTTCTTTTTCCACTGTTGATAACAAAATTCAACTCTTCCAGCCAATGCAACCTACTTAAAAGATCTATCTAGGCTATCTCAGTATTTGCTACTGTGATACTTCGGAGAAAGTAATGTTTTAATGTTATGAGCAATCTAATAAGGAAAATTAATTAGGCATTTTGGTAACTAGAGGCTCTAATTTACAAATCACTTGCGTGTTTTCTTATTTCAATTAGTTTTGGGTGGTTTTTTCCCTATCACAACCCTTATAAAATACTGGAGACCTTCCCCCCTCCCCCACTTTGCTGATGCTTCTGATGTTTCCATGATATTTCTTTCATATTATTAACATCAAGCCAAATGTTGAAATTTCTGCTCATGACTCCCACAGGAAGGTCTATCAAGGTCTCTTTTAATGGAAAGAATTACTCACACTGTTCCTATCCTATGAACATATCGCTAATTAACTAAGGCTACAGTGGGATTATCCAACTTCCGCATGCAGAGACAACTCTGGGGTTGGTTTGTGCCCACACGCACACTGGGTCAGCCAGCACAGGCCTAAAACTCTATTTTTAGGGCAGGTTGTGACCAATGGCCTTTCCCTTCTTATTTATGACATACTTCTGACAGCAGAAATTGCTCTGCCACCAGTGCATGCTTGAGGTTAAATCTGCAGGTACAGTACACAAGAAACAGTCATGACTAGCAGCTGTTCCCTTCTTGGTGTTTTGGAACAACAGAAGAGGATCTGTGGAGGTTGTGGACCCATTGTTGGCCGTGACAGACACATCTGAGGAGTCTGAAATGGTGGAATTCCAGGTTACATCCACAAGATGCCTGTGAGACTGAACCCTCAGGTTTTCTCCAGCCCAAATGAACAATGTGCCTGAACAACATCAGACCTTGGCCCAGTGCACTCAGGAGGAGTCTCCAGGTGAAGGGAAATCGATTCAAGGAGAACCAAGATTCCTGGATTCACCAGAAGAAAACAGAGAGCCACTTCTCCAAAAGATACTGTTACTGAATATTAATAAACTAACATGGAAAAGCAACATGCAATTCCAGAGGTAATAAGGATTAATAGAAATAATTCTAAACTAAGTACTGAGGGCAAGGAAAACAATTCTATCTTCTGTAACAGTAAAGAAATCTCACAATTATTTCAATATTGTAACTGATTAAAACTAGATCCACCTTGACCTTATCAATTGCTTTTGACATATTAAAAGCACAAGTCTCTTTTTTAAAAAGTACAATACTTCTGGTCAGCGAACCATTCTTTCAAATAGTTTTAAAAATTACAGAGTTACATTTCATTCTCTTTTATATATATTAAAGGTATCTTGCAATTAAAAAAATCAAGCAAAATCCACTAATTTCTCAGTCATTTCTATTGAGGAAGAACACAAACTTGGAGTTCTGCCTGGTGCCGTATCAGGGAAAACATGCAGAAATTGATCTTTGTTTTTATTGACCAAATGGGTGGTATGGTAATTATTTCAGAAATTAAAAATGGTCTACACTTTCTCCTTATCTGAAAATCCAATATTACAAAAAATCCTTAAAAAACACAGTACATAAATACATACTGAAACAGTGAGCTGAAGATCTACAAATACACTAATATCTACATGTGTTTTTTAAATAATTCATATATGTATTTTACAAACTGTCAGAAGCTATGCAATACAAAATTAAAACTGACAATGCTCTCAAAGCATTCTCTTAAGTATTTAGGTTGCCTAAAGGGCATGTAAAACATAGAATATCAGCCCTAGTTTTCAGTTCCCTAGCTTGTAGTAGTTTGCAGCATAGAGTTCACTGCATTTTGCATGAAATAAAATAGAAACAACTAATATTTACATGTTTACCAACACTGTGACAAAGCAAGAGACAATAAGATTCAGCAGGAAAAAATTACCTTAAAAAGATACCGGTCTTAATGCAAAGAAAATACAATATACCCTGAGCAACGCATTCTCTTTTAATATTCTTCCTATTACCATGTTTTTCTCTATTGTTCTGATTAATTTCAATTAATGGGAGTATCAGGAATGTCTGCAACTTCAGACTGCATTTCTGCAGCTTCTTATACCTGCATAGTAATTTCACTGTTCTCTTTGCAAAGGTTTGTCCATTTCCTTATCTACTTTTTTTTTCTCTATTCTTTAAGGCTTTCCTTCTTTTGAAAATTTGAAGATGTATAGCAATAGTAGTGCTCTCTTCTACAGACCATTTATACCATTTTCCTTCAGAATAATTATGGCTTTGCTTATCATGCCAAAAATTCCTGTTCTGCCTAATGTCACTTCTTCATGGTAAACCAATTCAACAGAGCTGAATTAATATTAAGAGTTACAAAAATTATTTTCTGAAGTAGAAATGTAAGAAGGGAGCATACTTAGGAGAGCTAATATCTGTGAATGAACAGCTGAAGTATAACTGACTATACACGAAACCCTCATTGTATAAACACTCACTGTAGCCAGAAAAACATACAAGCCAAGGGTATGCTGCCAACTTCAAACTTCAGGTTTCTCCAGAAGGAAATCTTCAATAGCTACAGAAAACAAGTCAGCTACCAGAAACGTTCAGTCAAAAGCTCTAGAATGGGGATATTTTCCCCAGAGTGTCCCCTTATTGCTTCTGGTCTAAATTCCTGTTCCTTAACTTGAACATCATATTTCTTATGACTCCAAAACTGGCCTAGATACCTCACTGCATTTTTACAGACACTTTTTTTGAGGCGTCATATTTTGCAATAGCAAGCTTTACCCACTTGCTGTCCTTCAGTTAACACTAGCTGTACTTCCCTCACTCACTACTTCTGCCACAGGTTGTCTGACCTCTTTCTTCACTTCACAGGGTTCTTCTGGAAAAGAGTTCTGAGGCTCTCACTAGTTAGTAGCTTAGAGAGCAAGGGATGATTTCCAGAAAGAGACATTGTTAGTTAAGGAGAGCTTAGTTCCTCCCTTTGTTTCCTACTACCTCTTTTTCCATAGGATGCTTCCTTCTCCTAGGCCATCTGGTTGTGCTCAAGGCCAGCACCCTGACCTGGGACAAAACTTCCCCTGGGTCCAGACTGCTGAGAACAAACTCTAAGACACCACCAGAGAGATTTCCTCTCCTTCATGCATGATCTGTGGTTTGGAAGAGGCTCTTAAGCCTGGTGTCTGCCTTCATCTCATTGCAGTCCTGTCTGTGCCATATCTGGGTCCTGACCCACAAACTCAAAATTTTTGTCTGACTTTGGACCTGCCTTGACAACACAAGCTTCCCTGGTGGCTGCTGGGCTAGCACTGACAGCAGTACTGCCACCTGACCTGACCCAGTGGCTGTGCTTTTCAGCTTGATGCTGGACCTACCTTGATACAAGGGCCTTGTCTGGCTGGCTGGGCTCTTGTTGAACTCAGCTACACACAGTTCTGATTACCTTGCTCAGATGTATGGGCTCCTACCTGATTTGTAATCACTCTAAACCCCATTTCCTTTCTGAAGCAGCCTGCTCCTACTGTTCCTCAGAATTCCTCTTCTTGTTTTTCTGGCTGCAAGGCCCATGAATCCGCTACTGAGCCTTAAAAACCCTGAGCATCCCCACCTGCAACCCCCTCACCGACCCCACACATGAGCCTGGAGCTCTATTCAAGTTCCTTCTGGGACTACAACTTTTCCAGTTCCAGATGG